AAAACCGCGACTCTTCCTGTCAGCTGACGGGAAGACGCCTCTAACGGGTGGGGCGCTAGCAGATTTGAGCGGAGAGAGGGAGTCAGTGGGTGTGCAGAGGGGGAGATGAGCGCGCTTGGGGTGAGGCAGTGGCGAGCAAGGCGTCAGTGTCAGGAGGAGAAGCAGCAGCAGCAGCGAGTGGAGCTGGGAGCAACCGCAGCATCAGAGGGGAGACGGGCATGCTACCCACGGGACTAGGGTACGCACACACGCACCATCGCACGCACGCACCATCGCACGCACGCACCATCGCACGCACACGTGGTCTCACGTGCCCTCTCACCCTCACCCATAACGGTGCCGCGTCCAGTAGCCAAGACCCCCTTGGGGCCGTTTCCACTCCGCGCGCTCCAACGGGGGCAGCCTGCTGTTTGCCCCGGGGGAGAGCAACTTTATCCGGTGCACACGTGTGTGTGTGTGACACGTGTGTGTGTGTGTGTCACCTGTGTGTGCCATCTGTGTGTGGCACATGTGTGTATGGGACGTGTTTGTGTGCTACGTGTGTGTGTCACGTGTGTGTGTGTGTGTCACCTGTGTGTGGCACGTGTGTGTGTGTCACGTGTGTGTATGGGACGTGTTTGTGTGCTACGTGTGTGTCTTTGTGTGCGCGAACGACTTGTGTGATGGGGGGGGGAACCTGTGTTTGGCACCAGTGTGGGGGACACGCCTTTGTCATCTGTGTGTGAAGCATCCAATGTGTATGTCACCTGTGTGTGTGCGCGTGCATTGGTTTGGCATCTGTGTGTGTGTGGCACACCTGTGTTGTGTGTCATCCTGTGTCTGTCACATCTCAGTAGGCAACAAAGATAAATGTCAACCACACACGAGCGAGCGAGCGAGCGGGCGGGTGAGTGGGTGAGCGAGCGAGCGAGCCGGCTAGCGAGCGTACGAATGGGTGAGTGGGTGAGCAAGTTAGTGTGTGAGCGAGTGAGTTGGGAGTGGGTGGGCGAGTGAGTGTGTGAGTGAGTGAGCGTGCGAGTGACTGGAGATGCGGCTGAGTGAGTAGCGAGTGAGTTGCGAGTGGGTGGGCGAGTGAGTGTGTGAGCGAGTGAGCGTGCGAGTGACTGGAGATGCGGCAGAGTGAGTAGCGAGTGAGTTGCGGGTGGGTGGGCGAGTGAGTGTGTGAGAGAGTGAGCGTGCGAGTGACTGGAAATGCGGCTGAGTGAGTAGCGAGTGAGTTGGGAGTGGGTGGGCGAGTGAGTGTGTGAGCGAGTGAGCGTGCGAGTGGCTGGAGATGCGGCTGAGTGAGTAGCGAGTGAGTTGGGAGTGGGTGAGCGAGTGAGTGAGTGAGCAATCGCACTGTGTGTGCCGGTGCTCACACCGCTGATCTCCCTCACAATCCGCGCAACTCCCCCGAGAGATGCCACATTGTGCCATCCGCACCCCGCCTCCCACGGCCCAATTAGCGGCGCTGCAGCAGAGACGGCTCTCTATTCAAACCCTGGCCACGCGGCCGTCCGCCCACCCATGTGTCCGTCCGTCCATGTGTCCGCCCACCCGTGTGTCCGTCCATGTGTCCACCCACCCGTGTGTCCGTCCGTCCATGTGTCCGCCCACCCGTGTGTCCGTCCGTCCATGTGTCCGCCCACCCGTGTGTCCGTCCATGTGTCCACCCACCCGTGTGTCCGTCCGTCCATGTGTCCGCCCACCCGTGTATCCGTCCGTCCATGTGTCCGCCCACCCGTGTGTCCGTCCATCCATGTGTCCGCCCACCCGTGTATCCGTCCGTCCATGTGTCCGCCCACCCGTGTGTCCGTCCGTCCATGTGTCCGCCCACCCGTGTGTCCGTCCGTCCATGTGTCCGCCCACCCGTGTGTCCGTCCATCCATGTGTCCGCCCACCCGTGTATCCGTCCGTCCATGTGTCCGCCCACCCGTGTATCTGTCCGTCCATGTGTCCGCCCACCCGTGTATCTGTCCGTCCATGTGTCCGCCCACCCGTGTATCTGTCCGTCCATGTGTCCGCCCACCCGTGTGTCCGTCCATGTTTCCGCCCACCCGTGTATCTGTCCGTCCATGTGTCCGCCCACCCGTGTATCTGTCCGTCCATGTGTCCGCCCATCCGTGTATCTGTCCGTCCATGTGTCCGCCCACCCATGTGTCCGTCCGTCCATGTGTCCGCCCACCCGTGTGTCCGTCCGTCCATGTGTCCGCCCACCCATGTGTCCATCCGTCCATGTGTCCGCCCACCCGTGTGTCCGTCCGTCCATGTGTCCGCCCACCCGTGTATCCGTCCGTCCATGTGTCCGCCCACCCGTGTGTCCGTCCGTCCATGTGTCCGCCCACCCATGTGTCCGTCCGTCCATGTGTCCGCCCACCCGTGTGTCCGTCCGTCCATGTGTCCGCCCACCCGTGTATCTGTCCGTCCATGTGTCCGCCCACCCGTGTATCTGTCCGTCCATGTGTCCGCCCATCCGTGTATCTGTCCGTCCATGTGTCCGCCCACCCGTGTGTCCGTCCGTCCATGTGTCCGCCCACCCATGTGTCCGTCCGTCCATGTGTCCGCCCACCCGTGTATCTGTCCGTCCATGTGTCCGCCCACCCATGTGTCCGTCCGTCCGTCCATGTGTCCGCCCATCCGTGTATCTGTCCGTCCATGTGTCCGCCCACCCATGTGTCCGTCCGTCTATGTGTCCGCCCACCCGTGTGTCCGTCCGTCCATGTGTCCGCCCACCCGTGTATCCGTCCGTCCATGTGTCCGCCCACCCGTGTGTCCGTCCGTCCATGTGTCCGCCCACCCGTGTGTCCGTCCGTCCATGTGTCCGCCCACCCGTGTATCTGTCCATCCATGTGTCCGCCCATCTGTGTATCTGTCCGTCCATGTGTCCGCCAACCCGTGTATCTGTCCGTCCATGTGTCCGCCCACCCGTGTGTCCGTCCGTCCATGTGTCCGCCCACCCGTGTGTCCGTCTGTCAGTGCATCCTTTTATCCGTCCGTGTAACTACGACGTCTGTGGCGATGCCAGCGTCTCCACCATCGGAGTCTCCTCCACCACGGCGGCTGTGAGCGCACGCAGGAAGCAACCGCCGCGCGGCATGGGGATTCCCTCCTGGCGACGTGCTGGCTTCATAACAACAACAATATTTATACAGTACTCGTGATGAAACTATCTGAACTACGAAGCCGTTATAGTAATAGGTTTTTACCCTTTCAACTGGTACAAAAACTGATACCTTTATACAAGGGATCATGTTTGAAATAACCACAACACAAACAGTCAAGGAGATGTCTCATAGTGTAAATGCTTACCCCGAGCTCTCAATACTCTGATAGTGCGCTGTATTTGAGTTGTACGCCTTTTGGCGTCATCTGGTCCAACACCAATGGAGACTAGGCTCTAAGAAAAGCTGTCTCGGGTGTGGACCAATCAACTTCAAGGACAGTGCATATCATTATCATCATCAGAGTTGTTTATTTTTGTTTGCATTTTGACTGCTTGTGTTGTGGTTATTGCAAACATGATCCCTTGTATAAAGGTGTCAGTTTTTGTACCAGTTGGAAGGGTAAAAACCTATTACTATATTTTGCCACTGGTAAAGGAGATGTCTCATAGTACGAATCCGTTCATAGCCATGCGCCACGTCTCCACGAGACGATGCCTGGTGAATGTGCGAGCGGGTGAGTGAACGTGCGCGAGTGAGTGGGAGTTTGCATCTCCTGCAGTGTGAATGAGCGAGTGAGTGAATGTTTTCAGTCTTGAGACTCAGTGAATCGCCGTGCCAAGCGGAGTGGCGTTGTGGTGACGGCCGCTCCGATGAGAGATGCAGGGAGCCTGCGGTTCCCTGGCCGATGACGCTACGGTGCCTTGAGCCGCTTTGGTGGCTATTATCTAAACCGGTCCTGGGCCTCCCCTAGGTTGACTCAGCCTCAAACAAGTACCTGGTGCGGTGTGTACAATCATTGCCACTGGGGGGACAAAGGCGGTCGTGCGTGGTGTTGGCCACCCGTGCCGGACTTCACAGGTGCTCACGAACAGCACTTGCCCCAACAGTCTGTTACGGCTTTACGAGGCGGTCTTTGTCTTTGTTAAATCCTTTATATTAAGTTCGCTTGCTTGCTTGCTTGCGCGCTTACGACCGTGCAAATCTTTCGGTCGTTTTTTAACCCACTTCCCGTGATCCAATCGAGCTGATATTTTGCACACAGACTCGTTGTGCGTGACAATTTATTTTCGTGAAACAATTATTCCAAAATTTTCAACATTTTAGGAAAAAAAAAATTATATTTAATTACCAATTGCTTAATGGTGGCAGGCAATCATCTGACCCATAGGTGGCAGCCATCTCAAGCCAGAGGACGAGAGGACTCTAGCCGCCCGAAAACCGATGCCACGCATATAAAGGATTTATAGTGAAAAACTTTGTTTTTACGGGTTAATTTTTGTGTCAATGCTCACGAACATAACTTGCCCCAACAGTCTGTTACGGCTTTACGAGGGCGGTCTTTGTCTTTGTGTGTCAGTGCTCACGAACATAACTTGCCCCAACAGTCTGTTACGGCTTTACGAGGGCGGTCTTTGTCTTTGTGTGTCAGTGCTCATGAACAGCACTTGCCCCAACAGTCTGTTACGGCTTTACGAGGGCGGTCTTTGTCTCTGTGTGTCAGTGCTCACGAACATAACTTGTCCCAATAGTCTGTTACGGTCTTCTTGGTTCTTTCGGTAAAGTCACGTAGAAGGAAAATAATAAAGTAATAAAAATAAAACATAATAAAATAATGCTCACGACGTTTCGGCCACAACGCAAGCAGCCGTCTTCAGGTGGAGAACAGGTCTGTCGAGAAGGCAGACTCTGCCTTATTATGTTTTATTTTTATTATTTTATTATTTTCCTTCTACGTGACTTTACCGAAAGAACCAAGAAGATGAATCCCTGCAGTCACGAAAGCTTTAAATCGAAAGTCTGTTACGGCTTTACGAGTGCGGTCTTTGTATGTGTGTGTGTGCCGTGTGGGTGGTGCAGGCGCGCGAGCTGAGCGCCGCCGCCGAGCTAGCGCTGGAGGAGATGGCGCGTCAGCAGCGCGAGCTGGAGGAGCGCCTCGATCAGATGCTGACGCGCATCGCAAAGGAGACGGAGGACATCCGGGACCTGGAGCAGCAGCTCACGGAGGGTGCGCGGCGGGGGGCGGTGCTGGTGGTGGTGCTGGTGGTGGTGGTGGTGATGGTGGTAGTGGTGGTGGTGGTGGTGATGGTGGTAGTGGTGATGGTGGTGGTGATGGTGGTGGTGATGGTGGTAGTGGGGGTGGTGATGGTGGTGATGGTGATGGTGGTGATGGTGGTGATGGTGATGGTGGTGATGGTGATGGTGGTGATGGGGGTGGTGATGGGGGTGGTGATGGTGGTGGCGATGATGGTAGTGATGGTAGTGGGGGTGGTGATGGTGGTGATGGTGGTGGTGATGATGGTAGTGATGGTGGTAGTGGGGGTGGTGATGGGGGGTGGTGATGGTGGTGGTGATGATGGTAGTGATGGTGGTGATGGTGGTAGTGGGGGTGGTGATGGGGGTGGTGATGGTGGTGGTGGTGGTAGTGATGGTGGTAGTGATGGTGGTGATGGTGGTAGTGGTGGTGGTGATGGTGGTGGTGATGGTGGTAGTGGTGGTGGTGATGGGGGTAGTGGTGGTGGTGATGGTGGTAGTGATGGTGGGGGTGGTGATGGTGGTAGTGGTGGTGGTGATGGGGGTAGTGGTGATGGTGGTGATGGTGGTAGTGGGGGTGGTGATGGTGGTGGTAGTGGTGGTGGTGATGGTAGTAGTGGGGGTGATGGTGGTAGTGGGGGTGGTGATGGTGGTAGTGGTGGTGGTGATGGTGGTGGTGGTGATGGTGGTGGTGGTGATGGTGGTAGTGGGGGTGGTGATGGTGGTAGTGGGGGTGGTGATGGTGGTGATGGTGGCAATGATCGTGATAGTGATGCTCATGGTGGTGGTGGTGATGGTGGTAGTGGTGGTAGTGGTGGTGGTGATGGTGGTAGTGGGGGTGGTGATGGTGGTAGTGGGGTAGGTGAGGGCAGCAATGATGGTGGAGATGGTAGTGATGGTGGCAATGATCGTGATAGTGATGCTCATGGTGGTGGTGGTGATGGCAATGATCGTGATAGTGCTGCTCATGGTGGTGGTGGTGATCATCGTGATAACTATAGTGGCAGTGGTGGTGATGATGTCAGTGGTGGTGGCCGTGGTGGTGATGATGACAATGATCGTGATGGGGATGCTAGTGGTGGTGGTGATGATGGTGTTGGTGGTGATGATGTCAGTGGTGGTGGCCATGGTGGTGATGATGACAATGATCGTGATGGGGATGCTAGTGGTGGTGGTGATGATGGTGTTGGTGGTGATGATGTCAGTGGTGGTGGCCATGGTGGTGATGATGACAATGATCATGATGGGGATGCTAGTGGTGATGATGGTGATGATGGTGATGATGGAGGTCGTGGTGATTGTAACGATGATGTTGGTGCCATTGGTAGTGTCAGGTGGTGGGGTGATGTTGGTGGGGGGAGAATGATATTGGTGGTGGTGGGTCTGTCCAGTGAGCCTTCGACACTTCACGTGGCCTTAAGGAGCACAAAGCCTGGAATAAGCTCAGTGGTGACGTCACCGCCACTTAGTGGCGAATGGCGGTTATTGTTGATGGCGGCAATGATAGTGGTGGTAATGTCAGTGGTGGTGGTGGTGATGATGACAATGATTGTGGTGGTAATGTCAGTGGTGGTGGTGGTGGTGGTGATGACAATGATCGTGGTGGTAATGTCAGTGGTGGTGGTGGTGATGATGATGATAGTGGTGGTAATGTCAGTGGTGGTGGTGGTGGTGATGATGATGATAGTGGTGGTAATGTCAGTGGTGGTGGTGGTGGTGGTGATGATGATGATAGTGGTGGTAATGTCAGTGGTGGTGGTGGTGGTGGTGATGATGACAATGATAGTGGTGGTAATGTCAGTGGTGGTGGTGGTGGTGGTGATGACAATGATTGTGGTGGTAAGTCAGTGGTGGTGGTGGTGATGACAATGATTGTGGTGGTAATGTCAGTGGTGGTGGTGGTGGTGATGATGACAATGATTGTGGTGGTAATGTCAGTGGTGGTGGTGGTGGTGGTGATGACAATGATTGTGGTGGTAATGTCAGTGGTGGTGGTGGTGGTGGTGATGACAATGATTGTGGTGGTAATGTCAGTGGTGGTGGTGGTGGTGATGATGACAATGATTGTGGTGGTAATGTCAGTGGTGGTGGTGGTGGTGGTGATGACAATGATTGTGGTGGTAATGTCAGTGGTGGTGGTGGTGGTGGTGATGACAATGATTGTGGTGGTAATGTCAGTGGTGGTGGTGGTGATGACAATGATTGTGGTGGTAATGTCAGTGGTGGTGGTGGTGGTGGTGATGACAATGATTGTGGTGGTAATGTCAGTGGTGGTGGTGGTGGTGGTGATGATGACAATGATCGTGATGGGGATGCTAGTGGTGGTGATGATGGTGGTGGTGGTAATGTCAGTGGTGGTGGTGGTGGTCATGATGACAATGATTGTGGTGGTAATGTCAGTGGTGGTGGTGGTGATGATGACAATGATAGTGGTGGTAATGTCAGTGGTGGTGGTGGTGGTGATGATGACAATGATTGTGGTGGTAATGTCAGTGGTGGTGGTGATGATGACAATGATTGTGGTGGTAGTGTCAGTGGTGGTGGTGGTGATGACGCCGATGACGACGATGACGATCACGACGTTGTGAGTGATGCCCCCCCCCACCCCCCACCTTCCGTGCCTCCCCCCCTACCAGGCCAGATTGCCGCGAACGACGCGCTAAAGCGTGACCTGGAGGGCATCATCGCGGGGCTGCAGCAGTACCTGTCGGGCGTGCAGGACCGGGCGCGCCAGGCCGGCGAGGCATGCGGGCGCCTGCAGCAGGAGAACGAGGAGCTGCAGCGCCGCCTCGCTCAGCTGCAGCAGGACAAGCAGGAGCTGGAGGTGGTGGCCGAAGATGCGGACGTCATGCGTAAGGTGCGCGTCGCAACCGCAGCTGTGCCGCACCACCGCACTGCCGCACCACTGCACCACTACACCGCACCACCGCACTGATCCATCACACCGCACCACCACACCGCACCACCGCACCGATCCATCACACTGCACCACTACACCGCACCACCGCACTGATCCATCACACCGCACCACCACACCGCACCACCGCACACCGATCCATCACACTGCACCACCGCACCGCACCACCGCACCGATGCATCACACTGCACCACTACACCGCACCACCGCACCGATCCATCACACTGCACCACCGCACCGCACCACCGCACCGATCCATCACACTGCACCACTACACCGCACCACCGCACCGATCCATCACACTACACCCCACCACCGCACCACCGCACCGATCCATCACACTGCACCACTACACCGCACCACCGCACCGATCCATCACACTGCACCACTACACCGCACCACCGCACCGATCCATCACACTACACCGCACCACCGCACCACCGCACCGATCCATCACACTGCACCACTACACCGCACCACCGCACCGATCCATCACACTGCACCACTACACCGCACCACCGCACCGATCCATCACACTACACCGCACCACCGCACCACCGCACCGATCCATCACACTGCACCACTACACCGCACCACCGCACCGATCCATCACACTGCACCACTACACCGCACCGATCCATCACACTGCACCACTACATCGCACCACCGCACCGATCCATCACACTGCACCACTACACCGCACCGATCCATCACACTGCACCACTACACCGCACCACCGCACCATCGCACCAATCCATCACACTGCACCACTACACCGCACCACCGCACCGATCCATCACACTACACCGCACCACCGCACCACCGCACCGATCCATCACACTGCACCACTACACCGCACCACCGCACCGATCCATCACACTGCACCACTACACCGCACCACCGCACCAATCCATCACACTACACCCCACCACCGCACCACCGCACCGATCCATCACACTGCACCACTACACCGCACCACCGCACCGATCCATCACACTGCACCACTACACCGCACCGATCCATCACACTGCACCACTACATCGCACCACCGCACCGATCCATCACACTACACCACACCACCGCACCACCGCACCGATCCATCACACTGCACCACTACACCGCACCGATCCATCACACTGCACCACTACACCGCACCACCGCACCATCGCACCGATCCATCACACTGCACCACTACACCGCACCACCGCACCGATCCATCACACTGCACCACTACACCGCACCACCGCACCGATCCATCACACTGCACCACTACACCGCACCGATCCATCACACCGCACCACTACACCGCACCGATCCATCACACTGCACCACTACACTGCACCACCGCACCGATCCATCACACTGCACCACTACACCGCACCACCGCACCGATCCATCACACTGCACCACTACACCGCACCGATCCATCACACTGCACCACTACATCGCACCACCGCACCGATCCATCACACTACACCACACCACCGCACCACCGCACCGATCCATCACACTGCACCACTACACCGCACCGATCCATCACACTGCACCACTACACCGCACCACCGCACCATCGCACCGATCCATCACACTGCACCACTACACCGCACCACCGCACCGATCCATCACACTGCACCACTACACCGCACCACCGCACCGATCCATCACACTGCACCACTACACCGCACCGATCCATCACACCGCACCACTACACCGCACCGATCCATCACACTGCACCACTACACTGCACCACCGCACCGATCCATCACACTGCACCACTACACCGCACCACCGCACCGATCCATCACACCTGAGAACATGCAAACTCTTAATATGCAGGCTTCAGGGTCGGGATCGAACCCACGACTTCTGCACACACCAGGAAAGGTAGTTAACATCTCACCACCGTGGCAGACCCCTACATTGGCAAGTTTCGATTTAAAGCTTTCGTGACTGCAGGGATTCATCTTCTTGGTTATTTCGGTAAAGTCACGTGACTTTACCGAAAGAACCAAGAAGATTGGCAAGTTTCATCTTCTTGGGTCTTTCGGTAAAGTCACGTAGAAGGAAAATAATAAAATAATAAAAATAAAACATTATAAAATAATTCTCACGACGTTTCGGCCACAGCGCAAGCAGCCGTCTTCAGGTGGAGAACAGGTCTGTCTACTTGGCCGAAACGTCGTGAGAATTATTTTATTGTTTTATTTTTATTATTTTATTATTTTCCTTCTACGTGACTTTACCGAAAGAAACAAGAAGATGAATCCCTGCAGTCACGAAAGCTTTAAATCGAAATTGGCAAGTTTGTCAAACTCTTATTTAACGAGCGCTCACACGACGCGGGAGAAAACGGCGCAGCTCTCGGGGAAAGAAAAAAATTAACCCGTAAAAACAAAGTTTTTCACTATAAATCCTTTATATGCGTGGCATCGGGGCGGCTAGAGTCCTCTCATCCTCTGGCTTGAGATGGCTGCCACCTATGGGTCAGATGATTGTCTGGCAGCATTAAACAAATGGTAATTAAATATTTACATTTTTTTCCTAAACAGTGTAAAATTTTGGAAAAAAATTTTCACGAACATGAATTGTCTCGCACAACGAGTCTGTGTGCAAAATGTCAGCCCGAGTGGATCACGGGAAGTGGGTTAAAAAACGACCGAAAGATTTGCACGGTCCTAAGCAAGCAAGCAAGCGAACTTAATTTAAAGGATTTAAAAACGTGCTTGCAAAGTGGGACGACGATGACGACGACGACACCGACGCTCCCCTTGCAGACGGGAGTCTTAACCCACTTGCTCTACTGCCCCGGACGTGCGCTAAAAGGAGGTGTTGGAGCTGGAGCGGTTGCTGCAGGAGCAGCAGGAGGCCAACGCGTCCCTGCAGGGGGAGCAAGGCGAGCGAGACGCCCAGCTGCAGGCCCAGCTCGACGAGATGGAGATCGAGCATCAGCAGCTGCAGGACCAGCTGCGTGCCCAGCACCAGCGCAGCAAGGTGAACTAAACTCATCTTCTTGGTTCTTCTTCTTGGTGCTTTCGGTAAAGTCACGTAAAAGGAAAGTAATGAAATAAATAAATATGATTTCTTTTTTTTCTCTTCTACGTGACTTTACCGAAAGAACCAAGAAGATGAATCCCTGCAGTCACGAAAGCTTTAAATCGAAATTTATCTTCTTGGTTAACTTTCGGTAAAGTCACGTATAAGGGAAATAATAAAGTAATAAAAATAAAACATAATAAAATAATTCTCACTGAGAATTGTATTTTATAATGTTTAATTTATATTATATTATTACTTCCCTTCTACGTGACTTTACCGAAAGAACCAAGAAGATGAATCCCTGCAGTCACGAAAGCTTTCCATAGAAATGTATCTTCTTGGTTCTTGCGGTAAAGTCACGTAGAAGGGAAATAATACAATTAAAAAAATTAAACATAGTACAATAATTCTCACGACGTTTCGGCCACAACGCAAGCAGCCGTCCTCAGGTGAAGAACAGGTCTGTCGGGAAGACAGCGTCTGAATGAAACACCCCAGGCTTGGAGCGTCTATTTAAGCTGCTGGGTTGGAGGGGGAAGAGCTGCTTGCGTTGTGGCCGAAACGTCGTGAGAATTATTTTATGATGTTTTATTTCTATTATTTTATTATTTCCCTTCTACGTCATGACTTTACCGAAAGAACCAAGAAGATGAATCCCTGCAGTCACGAAAGCTTTAAAACGAAATTTAAACTAAACTATTAAACTGTTTTGTATTTTACCACGTAATACCCCCGTCTGAACTATGTAGCTGTTTTTCAGAGGCGAGCTGACTATCACATCATCGTGTGGAAATGTATTGCGGCCAAATGTTCTGAACGCGTGATGTGGATTCTAAATGCCGAAGGAAAAACCGGAGGACCTGGAGAAAAATCCACGCGACCACGGGAACGGAGACACGCAAACTCCAAATATACAGCAGCAGGCGTCAGGGTCGGGATTTAACCCACGATCTCCTGTACACCAGGCGAGGTAGTCAACATCTCCTAGCCACCGTGATGATGATGAGAGAGAGACACGCAAACTCCAAATATACAGCAGCAGGCGTCAGGTTCTGGATCGAACCCACGACCTGCTGTACACCAGGCGAGATAGTTAACATCTCCTAGCCACCGTGATGATGATGATGAGAGAGAGACACGCAAACTCCAAATATACAGCAGCAGGCGTCAGGGTCGGGATTTAACCCACGACCTCCTGTACACCAGGCGAGGTAGTTAACATCTCCTAGCCACCGTGATGATGATGATGATGAGAGAGAGTCACGCAAACTCCAAATACACAGCAGCAGGCGTCAGGGTTGGGATTTAACCCACGACCTCCTGTATACCAGGCGAGGTAGTTAACATCTCCTAGCCACCGTGATGATGATGAGAGAGAGACACGCAAACTCCAAATATACAGCAGCAGGCGTCAGGGTCGGGATTTAACCCACGACCTCCTGTATACCAGGCGAGGTAGTCAACATCTCCTAGCCACCGTGATGATGATGATGAGAGAGAGTCACGCAAACTCCAAATATACAGCAGCAGGCGTCAGGGTTGGGATTTAACCCACGACCTCCTGTACACCAGGCGAGGTAGTTAACATCTCCGAGCCACGGTGATGATGATGAGAGAGAGACACGCAAACTCCAAATATACAGCAGCAGGCGTCAGGGTCGGGATTTAACCCACGACCTCCTGTATACCAGGCGAGGTAGTCAACATCTCACCACCGTGGCGCCCTCCTCCCTTCCCCTGCCCCCCTCCCTCCCACCCCCATCACCATCTGTCCTTCACACAAGACAGATGGTGCCAATGATCAGCAGTACAATCAGCTGTGAGCGCACAAAGTCTGCCGTTGTCTGGGGGAGGGGCCACCGAGCCCCTTCTTGGGTTGGCCCGGCCCGTTCGGGTGGCTCCAGGAAGTCTGTCCTGGTGCCCCCCCCCGCCCCCCCCCCCGCCCCACTCTAACCCCATCCATGCCGTAGTCGTTTTTGAAAGTCGGGCTATTTTGCCTAATTTTCATCAACTCGTTTCAACTCGTTGCACGGTGGCTAGGAGATGTTTGGAGTTTGCGTGTTCTCTCCGGGGTCGCGTGGATTTTTCTCCGGCTCCTCCGGTTTTTCCCTCTGCATTTAGAATCAACATCACGCGTTTCGTGTTTTTGGCTACTGCAAAACATTTCCACATGAGCAGTGGGCGGAGCTAGCTGAGCAGTAGGAGGAGCTACTAAAGCAGTGAGCGCCAGTTACCTGAGCAGCGGGCAGAGGTAGCAGCGAGGAGCAGGCGGAAGTGGGAGGGGGGCCAATCACCGTGGATGGAGCTGGTGGCTCCATCCAGCTGAACAGGCGTCCTGGTGGAGTACCACCACCACCACCACTACCACCACCACCACTACCACCACCACTACCACCACCACTACCACCACCACTACCACCACCACTACCACCACCACTACCACCACCACCACCTCTACTACCACTACTACCACCACCACTACCACCACCACCACTACCACCACCACTACCACCACCACTACCACCACCACTACCACCACCACTACCACCACCACCACCTCTACTACCACTACTACCACTACCACCACCACCACTACCAGACGCACGGAACCACTCTCACCGCGCCCCGTCGTCTCGTGCGCCCGCAGGGGGAGCAGGCGGCGCTGCTGGCGGAGCTCCAGCGGGAGAAGGAGGCGCTGGAGGCCGCCATCGAGCAGGCGGGTCAGGCGCGGGCCCACGAGCAGGAGAACCAGCGGCTGCTGCAGCAGCTGCGTGCGCTGCAGGTGGCGCTCGCTCACTCGCCACGTCGCTCGCTTCCTTGCTCACCTCACTCACCTCCTCACTCGCTTCCTCACCCGCCTCGTCGCTCACCTCCTTGCTCAGCTATTCGCTCACCTCCGAACTCGTCTCCTCGCTCGCCCCCTCGCTCACCTCCTCACTCACTTCTTCACTCGCTTCCTCACCCACCTCGTCGCTCACCTCCTCACTCGCCCCCTCGCTCACCTCCGCACCCGTCTCCTCGTTCGTTTCCTCGCTCACCTCTTCACTCGCTTCCTCACCCGCCTCGTCGCTCACCTCCTTGCTCACCTCCTCACTCGCTTCCTCACCCATCTCGTCGCTCACCTCCTCACTCGCTTCCTCACCCATCTCGTCGCTCGCTTCTTCACCCACTTCGTCGCTCACCTTCTTGCTCAGCTCCTCGCTCACCTCCTCACTCGCTTCCTCGCTCACCTATTCGCTCACCTCCGCACTCGTCTCCTCGCTCAGCTCCTCGCTCACCTCCGCACTCGTCTCGTCGCTCACCTCCTCACTCACCTCCTCACTCACCTCCGCACTCATCTCCTCGCTCACCTCCTTGCTCACCTCCTCGCTCAGCTCCTCACCCATCTCCTCGCTCGCCTCCTCACTCGCCTCCGAACTCGTCTCCTCGCTCACCTCCTTGCTCACCTATTCGCTCACCTCCTCGCTCGCCTCCTCACCCATCTCCTCGCTCACGTCCTCACTCGCTTCTTCACCCACCTCGTCACTCACCTCGTCACTCACCTCCTCACTCCCCCCCCCCCTCCCCCAGGCGAGCCCAGCGATGCTGAGCAGGCGCCTCCAGGACGCGGAGGCGCAGGCGGAGAGGACGGCGCGGGAGACGGTGCGGCGCGACGAGGTGGCGGCGCACCTCACGCAGCTCCGCGAGGAGGTGGAGGGGCCCCGCGGTCCCCTCGACGAGGAGGAGGAGGGGCACGAGGAGGAGCGGGGCGAGGAGGAGGAGGAGGAGAGGCGGAGGAACGGGCAGCACGAGGAGGAAGACGATGAGGAGGAGGAGGAGGGGGGGACGAGGTGAGATGAAGGGTTAGTGTTGTGGTGGTGAGGGTGAGTGTGGTGGTGGTGAGGGTAGGGTTAGTGTTGTGGTGGTGAGGGTGAGTGTGGTGGTGGTGAGGGTGAGTGTGGTGGTGGTGAGGGTGAGTGTGGTGGTGGTGAGGGTGAGTGTGGTGGTGGTGAGGGTGGGGTGAGTGTGGTGGTGGTGAGGGTGGGGTGAGTGTGGTGGTGGTGAGGGTGGGGTGAGTGTGGTGGTGAGGGTGGGGTGAGTGTGGTGGTGGTGAGGGTTAGTGTGGTGGTGGTGAGGGTGGGGTGAGTGTGGTGGTGGTGAGGGTGGGGTGAGTGTGTGGTGGTGAGGGTGGGGTGAGTGTTGTGGTGGTGAGGGTGGGGTGAGTGTGGTGGTGGTGAGGGTGAGTGTGGTGGTGGTGAGGGTGGGGTGAGTGTTGTGGTGGTGAGGGTGGGGTGAGTGTGTGGTGGTGAGGGTGGGGTGAGTGTTGTGGTGGTGAGGGTGGGGTGAGTGTGGTGGTGGTGAGGGTGAGTGTTGTGGTGGTGAGGGTGGGGTGAGTGTGGTGGTGGTGAGGGTGGGGTGAGTGTGTGGTGGTGAGGGTGGGGTGAGTGTGGTGGTGGTGAGGGTTAGTGTGGTGGTGGTGAGGGTGGGGTGAGTGTGGTGGTGGTGAGGGTGGGGTGAGTGTGTGGTGGTGAGGGTGGGGTGAGTGTTGTGGTGGTGAGGGTGGGGTGAGTGTGGTGGTGGTGAGGGTGAGTGTGGTGGTGGTGAGGGTGGGGTGAGTGTGTGGTGGTGAGGGTGGGGTGAGTGTGTGGTGGTGAGGGTGGGGTGAGTGTTGTGGTGGTGAGGGTGGGGTGAGTGTGGTGGTGGTGAGGGTGGGGTGAGTGTTGTGGTGGTGAGGGTGGGGTTAGTGTGGTGGTGGTGAGGGTGGGGTGAGTGTTGTGGTGGTGAGGGTGGGGTGAGTGTTGTGGTGGTGAGGGTGGGGTTAGTGTGGTGGTGGTGAGGGTGGGGTGAGTGTGTGGTGGTGAGGGTGGGGTTAGTGTGGTGGTGGTGAGGGTGGGGTTAGTGTGGTGGTGGTGAGGGTGGGGTGAGTGTTGTGGTGGTGAGGGTGGGGTTAGTGTGGTGGTGGTGAGGGTGGGGTGAGTGTTGTGGTGGTGAGGGTGGGGTGAGTGTTGTGGTGGTGAGGGTGGGGTGAGTGTGTGGTGGTGAGGGTGGGGTGAGTGTTGTGGTGGTGAGGGTGGGGTTAGTGTGGTGGTGGTGAGGGTGGGGTGAGTGTTGTGGTGGTGAGGGTGGGGTTAGTGTGGTGGTGGTGAGGGTGGGGTGAGTGTGTGGTGGTGAGGGTGGGGTGAGTGTTGTGGTGGTGAGGGTGGGGTTAGTGTGGTGGTGGTGAGGGTGGGGTGAGTGTGTGGTGGTGAGGGTGGGGTGAGTGTGGTGGTGGTGAGGGTGGGGTGAGTGTTGTGGTGGTGAGGGTGGGGTGAGTGTGGTGGTGGTGAGGGTGGGGTGAGTGTGGTGGTGGTGAGGGTGAGTGTTGTGGTGGTGAGGGTGGGGTGAGTGTGGTGGTGAGGGTGGGGTGAGTGTGGTGGTGGTGAGGGTGGGGTGAGTGTGGTGGTGGTGAGGGTGAGTGTGGTGGTGGTGAGGGTGAGTGTTGTGGTGGTGAGGGTGGGGTGAGTGTGGTGGTGAGGGTGGGGTGAGTGTTGTGGTGGTGAGGGTGGGGTGAGTGTGGTGGTGAGGGTGGGGTGAGTGTGGTGGTGGTGAGGGTGAGTGTGGTGGTGGTGAGGGTGGGGTGAGTGTGGTGGTGAGGGTGGGGTGAGTGTTGTGGTGGTGAGGGTGGGGTGAGTGTGGTGGTGGTGAGGGTAGGGTGTGGTGGTGGTGAGGGTAGGGTCTGGTGGTGGTGAGGGTGGGGTGAGTGTTGTGGTGGTGAGGGTGGGGTGAGTGTGGTGGTGAGGGTGGGGTTAGTGTGGTGGTGGTGAGGGTGGGGTGAGTGTGTGGTGGTGAGGGTGGGGTGAGTGTTGTGGTGGTGAGGGTCAGTGTCATTGGGGTGAGTGTGGTGGTGGTGAGGGTGGGGTGAGTGTGGTGGTGGTGAGGGTAGGGTGAGTGTGGTGGTGAGGGTGGGGTGAGTGTGGTGGTGGTGAGGGTGGGGAGAGTGTGGTGGTGAGGGTGGGGAGAGTGTGGTGGTGAGGGTGAGTGTGGTGGTGGTGGTGATGGTGGGGTGAGTGTGGTGGTGGTGAGGGTAGGGTCTGGTGGTGGTGAGGGTAGGGTGAGTGTTGTGGTGGTGAGGGTGAGTGTGGTGGTGAGGGTGGGGTGAGTGTGGTGGTGAGGGTGGGGTGAGTGTGGTGGTGGTGAGGGTGGGGTGAGTGTGGTGGTGAGGGTCAGTGTGGTGGTGGTGGTGAGGGTGGGGTGAGTGTTGTGGTGGTGAGGGTAGGGTGAGTGTTGTGGTGGTGAGGGTGGGGTGAGTGTGGTGGTGAGGGTGGGGTGAGTGTGGTGGTGGTGAGGGTGGGGTGAGTGTGGTGGTGGTGAGGGTGGGGTGAGTGTGGTGGTGGTGAGGGTGGGGTGAGTGTGGTGGTGAGGGTGAGTGTGGTGGTGGTGAGGGTGGGGTGAGTGTGGTGGTGAGGGTGGGGTGAGTGTGGTGGTGGTGAGGGTGGGGTGAGTGTGGTGGTGAGGGTGGGGTGAGTGTGGTGGTGAGGGTGAGTGTGGTGGTGGTGAGGGTGGGGTGAGTGTGGTGGTGGTGAGGGTGGGGTGAGTGTGGTGGTGGTGAGGGTGGGGTGAGTGTGGTGGTGGTGAGGGGGAGTGTGGTGGTGGTGAGGGTGGGGTGAGTGTGGTGGTGAGGGTCAGTGTGGTGGTGGTGAGGGTGGGGTGAGTGTGGTGGTGAGGGTGGGGTGAGTGTGGTGGTGGTGAGGGTGGGGTGAGTGTGGTGGTGAGGGTGGGGTGAGTGTTGTGGTGGTGAGGGTGAGTGTGGTGGTGGTGGTGAGGGTGGGGTGAGTGTGGTGGTGGTGAGGGTGGGGTGAGTGTGGTGGTGGTGAGGGTGAGTGTTGTGGTGGTGAGGGTGGGGTGAGTGTTGTGGTGGTGAGGGTGAGTGTGGTGGTGAGGGTGGGGTGAGTGTTGTGGTGGTGAGGGTGGGGTGAGTGTGGTGGTGGTGGTGAGGGTTAGTGTTGTGGTGGTGAGGGTGGGGTTAGTGTGGTGATGGTGAGGGTTAGTGTGGTGGTGGTGAGGGTTAGTGTTGTGGTGGTGAGGGTAGGGTTAGTGTTGTGATGGTGGGATTGGGTGAGTGTCGTGCGTGTCATTGGTACGAGAGGGTTAATGCTGGGTTTAGGTTTTGCTATCGCTGTTGTTCTCCTTCACTCTGTGTTGCTGTCCTTCACTCTGTGTCACTCAGCGTTGCTCTGTGTCACTCTGTGTCACTCTCTGTGTCACTCTGTGTCACTCTGTGTCGCTCTGTGTCACTCTGCGTTGCTCTGTGGCACTCTGTGTCACTCTCTGTTGCTCTACGTCACTCTGTGTCACTCTGTGTCGCTCTGTGTCACTCTGCGTTGCTCTGTGTCACTCTGCGTTGCTCTGTGTCACTCTGTGTCACTCTCTGTTGCTCTACGTCACTCTGTGTCACTCTGTGTCACTCTACGTCACTCTGTGTCACTCTGTGTCACTCTGTGTTGCTCTGTGTCGCTCTGTGTCACTCTGCGTTGCTCTGTGTCACTCTCTGTTGCTCTACGTCACTCTGTGTCACTCTGCTCTTCCCTCGTTCCTCCGAGTGACGGGCTGTCACTTTTGTTCAGCCTTCGCGTGGACGTCGTGCAGGTGAGGCCTTGCATGAGTGGTGACGTGGTGTCACGTGGTTTGACGTGGAGTCACGTATGATGAGTGTGGTGTGACGTGGCGTGGCATGTGGTGAGTTTGGTGTGACGTAGCATCGCGTGTGGTGAGTGGTGTGACGTGGAGTCGCGTATGATGAGTGTGGTGTGACGTGGCGTGGCACATGGTGAGTGTGCTGTGACGTGGCGTGTGGTGAGTGTGGTGTGATGTGATGTTGTGTGTGGTGAGTGTGGTGTGACGTCACGTGTGGTGAGTGTGGTGTGACATGGCGTGGCGTGTGGTGAGTGTGGTGTGACATGGCGTGTGGTGAGTGTGGTGTGACGTGATGTCGCGTGTGGTGAGTGTGCTGTGACGTGGCATCACGTGTGGTGTGACGTGGTGTCGCGTGTGGTGTGACGTGGCGTGGCGTGTGGTGAGTGTGGTGTGACGTGGTGTCGCGTGTGGTGTGACGTGGCGTGGCGTGTGGTGAGTGTGGTGTGACGTGGTGTCGCATGTGGTGTGACGTGGCGTGGCGTGTGGTGAGTGTGGTGTGATGTGGTGTCGCATGTGGTGTGACGTGGAGTGGCGTGTGGTGAGTGTGGTGTGACGTGGTGTCGCGTGTGGTGTGACGTGGCGTGGCGTGTGGTGAGTGTGGTGTGACGTGGTGTCGCATGTGGTGTGACGTGGAGTGGCGTGTGGTGAGTGTGGTGTGACGTGGTGTCGCATGTGGTGTGACGTGGAGTGGCGTGTGGTGAGTGTGGTGTGACGTGGTGTCGCATGTGGTGTGACGTGGAGTGGCGTGTGGTGAGTGTGGTGTGACGTGGTGTCGCATGTGGTGTGACGTGGAGTGGCGTGTGGTGAGTGTGGTGTGACGTGGTGTCGCGTGTGGTGTGACGTGGCGTGGCGTGTGGTGAGTGTGGTGTGACGTGGTGTCGCATGTGGTGTGACGTGGAGTGGCGTGTGGTGAGTGTGGTGTGACGTGGTGTCGCGTGTGGTGTGACGTGGCGTGGCGTGTGGTGAGTGTGGTGTGACGTGGTGTCGCATGTGGTGTGACGTGGCGTGGCGTGTGGTGAGTGTGGTGTGACGTGGTGTCGCATGTGGTGTGACGTGGCGTGGCGTGTGGTGAGTGTGGTGTGACGTGGTGTCGCATGTGGTGTGACGTGGAGTGGCGTGTGGTGAGTGTGGTGTGACGTGGTGTCGCATGTGGTGTGACGTGGAGTGGCGTGTGGTGAGTGTGGTGTGACGTGGTGTCGCATGTGGTGCTGTGACCAGGCGAGTAGTGACACGTCTAGTGGATTGCGGTGGAGTGCAGTGACTCTCCTTTCCGGCCCCCACCCCTGACCTCCACGAGTACACGCACGCCTCTGTCACCTCCGATGAGCAGGGTTCGCTACGTACGGCGCGAAAGAAGTTCAACATGCATACCCCTCTGCATCGGAGCCGAGCCACGGCTGGGATCTTCTTGGCACCGGTGTTTTTTCTTGGCAGAGCCGAGCCAGAGCGAATGCGTGAAACTGTGACTTCAAGAATCGCTTGAATCTTTGCTCGGGGGCCCAGCAGGCCCAAGCATGGCAGGATGGAACACTTTCGTCGTGCGTCGCGTCGCGCCGCGTCGCTCGCTCGCTCGCTCTACTTGAGGGCCCCACTCGTGCGTTGGGCGTCACGTTCGCGACGCGGCTCTTGATTCTGCGGTGGGAACAAAACCAACCCGGAGCATCCTTGAGCGGTGCCGGGCTGGCTTAGCGCAGCCCAGAGGTCGCAACCGGGTACCCGATACCCGGGTACCCGTACCTGGCCGGGTACGGGTAGCCGTTTGCGACCCTGGTGCGGCCGGGTACGGGTACAGGTAAGGAATCAAAACCCATCTTCTTGGTTTTTTCGGTAAAGTCACGTAGAAGGAAAATAATAAAATAATCAAAATAAAACAAAATAAAATAATTCTCACGACGTTTCGGCCACAACGCAAGCAGCCGTCTTCAGGTGAAGAACAGGTCTGTCGAGGAGACAGAGTCTGAATGCAAACCTTATTATGTTTTATTTTTTATTATTTTTTTATTCCTTCTACGT